GATATATGTATACATTTAGTTATATTTAGGAGAACTGTATATATATATATATATATATATATATATATATATTATTTTGGGTTATGATGTATATAGTCTTATGTCATTTTGAGCGACATATGTATATGCTATATATATATATATTGTAAAATAGGCATATATAGTCGTTATTCAGTTCTATACTGTTGTCATTAACGTGCACAAGATTATATGTTGATAACTTAAATGAGATGATTAGTGGCACGGAGCCAATATATGTTTGAATTCATAGATGGATCCTAAGATTTGTATATGTGGACTGCACTTTTCTGGATTTCAGGTACAATGTACAAAATTGTGGGATTTTTATCCCTGGATTGTCCAGTTTACAGCGAAAGTGTTGTCCGCAAGATTTTATCTGAGATGGTACATGTTATTATACTCGGATAGTCATCGTCCATTGATTATGGTTACAAAGTTGTTAAGTTAAATTTCTGTATAGGTATAGGACTTTACAGTCCGAGATAATATAAAGAAATAGGTTATGCATGGCAATACATAAGGAAAAAGTTAAGTCACATATTTACACAAAGTAACAGTGATACTTTTATTTAAGTCTTTCGCTACTTTATTTAAGTATGTTGCACTTTAAATACCATATTGCATGTTAATTAATCGGCTGCATACAGGGCATTACAGTAACAACCAGGCCTTGGAGTGTGGAGCTGTCTTGAAGGAAAGTTTGGATCTTTGGCTCAACGTTTTGGTCATGCTTCGAATCAACTTTTATGTTCCTTTCCAGTTTTTAGTCATTTGTCTTCAAAAAATAAATGTTCTGAAGTTTGTGATGTTTGTCATCTAGCTAAGCAGACTCATTCTTCATTTTCTCTCAGTGATTATTGGAAGAACCTGCACCGTTAATTTAGGAATTTAAATTAATTAAGTGTGAATTTAGGAAATAATTCCATAATTGACCCTAATAATTATGATAAGGCTTAAATAATTATAATAAGTGATCAATAATGTTGAAAGTCGCTTTTCTAATGAAAAGTGTGGATACCGGTTCTGCTCCACGGTATAAATGTGTACCGATGAAGTGTCCCGAAAAGTTATGAAAAGTATGTATATATCACTAGAATAATATCTAGGACTAGTATAATAAGTTTGTAGTCAAAATAATGAGAACTGGCATCAGAACTGATATCGACTACGTAAAAGCGCGTACCGGCAGAGTGCTGTGAAAATAATAATAAAAAATATGACAAATCCTAGAAAAATGGCTAGTTCGGAATCCAAAGTTTGGGATTAAAATGATAAGCGTAGCTATTAGCGCTAATACTGACGAATTAGTTTAATGGACCTATAAATAGCTTATGGGCCCAAAACCCTAGGCCATAATTTAGCTGCTACGTGAGGCTCCTTGGGTGCTGACTGCCTTCAGCCATTTTCTCTCTTCTTGAACTTGAGCTCCATGTACTAAAGTGAGCCAAGCACTCACCTTTTCCATTGATTCTTCACATTAAACCTTGTAAACACTTAGTAGTTAGATTGTGAGGGAGCTTGGTGGTTCATTTCTGAGTGTCAACCTCTGTTTTGGTGGTGTGTTGATGCTGTCTACCTTGGTTGTGAGGGTGGTAGTCATGTTTTTGGTTGTGGGGGCTCCAAGAAGCTATTTTGAGTGATAAAAGACCAAGCTTGGGGTGTATTTTCGCAATCCCTTAAAGTCAAAACCTTGGAGCTGTGTTGGAGGCTCAAAGTCAATGTCTTTTCTGAGTTTTCAAGACCTAAGTAAGCCATGATCATCCCTTTTGAAATTTCCATGGTTTTAGCTTGTGTGAGCCTTTTAAAAAAGAAACTTGAACCATTTGAGTTAAAGGATGATAATCTATGCTTAAAAGATGTTAATGAACTTCTGTTTGTGGAGTTATTGGACTCCAAATCGAGTTTGGACCCTTAAAAATGGGATTATGCAGAAACTGCTCGAGTTTATGCATTATGTCTGATAAGTATTCGAATACTTTTCGTGGAGTATTCGAATACTCATCAGCAGGTAGTCGAATACTCATTGAAGGAGTATTGAGATACTTTTCTGGGAAGAAAAGTATTCGGATACCTTGTGGTATTCGAATACTGTAGGAAATGTATTTGGATATTGTGTAGTATTCAGATACAGTGGGAAAAGTATTTAAAAACTTGTTGGTATTCGAATACTTTAGTGAAAGTATTCAGATACTTTCTGAAGACATGGAGTATTCGAATACTCATCGAGGAGTATTCAAATACCTCCTGCAGATTTAGTCTAAAATCACCTAAAACAAGTTGGAAAGCCTTAAACACTTAGTGAAACCTTGGGCTTTGAATAATAATGATTGTTTCTGCTATAAACAGACTGTGAGGGTGTTGTTTGGTGACATTGGGCTAGTGTGGACTTTGGCTTGGATTATTAGCTTGCGAGGTAAGCTTTCGTGTCCTCGATTTTGCAATTGTTAGTTCCACCATGCCTCATGGAGGGATGATTTATATGCATGATGTGTTTTCATGTATTGATATTTAAAATGTTATTGAGCTATTAAGTACAAATGTATTATGATATGTATGTGTTGTTCCATCTAGACGGTAAGCCTGAGTATGTGGCGTCATACAATATGGTGATTCTGTGGGTGAGTGCAAGTAGCATCTTGCACTGATTGTAGGTTGTGGACGTATGTAATTCCTGCATGTTCTCTGGCCAGTAAGATTTTGACACACATGACATGATTATATGCTGCATTGCACAGATTTTGGAACTTATACTGTTTTACTGCTTTTAAACTTATATTGCACATGTAAGTGAGCTTGGGGTGGAGAGATCCTTGAGGACCCCTTGTCTTACTGAGATTTCTTTTTAGAGATCTCACCCTACATTTGGGGCACATTTTCATGTTCAGGTAATTCGGGGGTTGATACATTTATGCTGTTATGAAGATATGTCTGAATATTGATTTTGTTACCTTCAGTATGTCTGTATTTGATTTGAGACTTTGTTGGGCTTGTTGCCTTATTTGGTGAGCATGAGGATTGTCCATGCCACATTGATGTTAGTTATATTTTGCTTGAGTTGTATAAATTATCAGGATAATGTCCGGTCTATGTGTTGTAGCTCCATGACTAGAAACACATTTATATATGAGGATTTCAGTTAGTTGTATTTGCAATTTACATACAGACGATGTTTTGAAAAAGGATTAAGTAATCAACTTGGTTAATAATAATGACGTCATAATTGAATGAAAAAAAAAGTTAGTTCCGCATTTTAATTAAGCAGCGCTTAATACGATGATATTCTAACAAACCGGGTATACACGGGGTGTTACAATTATCATAGTAAATTTTCATTTGAGTTAATACATTGTGACATTTGGGGCCCTTATAAGATAAGTACTTTTTCTGGAGCTCATTATTTTTTAACTATGGTGGGTGATTATAGCTGTTTTGTCTGGGTCTTTCATAGGGCTGCAAATAGTGAATTGGTTTTAGTTATTAAAATTTTTATACATATGGTGCACAATAAATTTAATACTACCATCAAAGTTTTTCGTACTGATAATGGCAGTGAATTTAATCATTGATCCCTCCAGCAATTATATGATGATCTTAGAATTTTAAGAAAATCTTCATGCACCTACACTCCTAAACAAAATGGACGGGTTAAACGTAAGCATCGCCACATTCTTAACATGGCTCATGCTCTCCGATTGCAAGCCTTACTTCCTCTGGAATTTTGGGGGAGTGCGTTTTGATCGCTTCTCATCTTATTAATCAGACTCCTACTACAGTGTTACATGGTAAAACTTCGTATGAATTATTGTTTGGAACACAACCTCAGATTAATCATCTTAAAGTTTTTGGTTGTTTATGTTATGCTACTGTCCGCCTAAACCTTCTGATAAATTTGGTGTTCACATTAAGAAGTGTATTTTTGTTGGGTACCCTTTTGGCAAGAAAAGATGGAAATTATATCGATGATTTATGGATTTTATTGTGAGTTTGTCTTATAAATTTTGAGAACTAATTATACTTTGAATGTTAAAAAATTAGAAAAAAACATTTAAATTATATTAGGTTATGTTATGATTTGTTTTAAAAAAATTGAGTATAAATATAAATTTATTTAGTTGAATCAACTCAATTGGTTAAGGACCTAATACCCAGTTACCCACCCCATCCAAATTTTATAACATCGATTTAGAGCCCATTTGCAAGGGTTTTTTTTTTTTCTTCAAAAGTTGATTTTCTTTACGAAAAAAAGTAATTTTCAAAAAAAGTATGTTTGGATATCTATTTTTTACAAAAAATAAAAGTCATAAAAAAACAAAAAACTTACAATGTTTAAAAGTTAAAAATTTTAACTTTTAAAAAAAGGAAAAATCAAAAGTCAAATATTTTTTTTTTTCAAAATCTAAATAATTTTTTCAAAAACTAAATAGCTTTAGCTTGACACTTTTAAAATAAATAAGGCATAAAAATGATTTTTTTTGAAATGCAATGCAAACGAGGTATTAAAGCTGTTCTGCTTTGGTATTGTCACGTGATCTGATTTGGTATACTTATGCAGACTTTTTTCCCCGACAAAAATGTACATATGTAAAAATTATAGGATTAAACTCACCAAAAAATAAAATAAAATTATAGGATTAAATTTTTTTTACAATTTCTTATAATCATATTTTATTATCATTGATTTTCGTCAATAAATGATTATCATTTTAGCAAATTAAATTCATTAATTAATTATTAATTCACAATAAATAATAACCGTTGTTGATTGACAGAAATCAACTGTGTTAAGATACGATGGTAAGAGATTATAAAAAAAAAAAATTGTAAGTGTAACCTTCCTTAATATTAATTTTTTAAAATTTATCTTATTATAATCTAATATTTTAGAATTAAACGACGTCGTAACAGAGACCCCTAGAACAGTATCGTCCTCCGAAGTGTCAGAAGCTGGGTGCGCGAGTTGGTTCCAGAAAAAAGAAAAAAAAGAATAAGAAAGAGAAACTTCACGGTGGGAGAAAAAGCCGGGAAGAGAAACTCTGCTTGGGAAAATCTTCGATGGAGGAGGGTTTAGAGAAGAGAGAATTGGAAGGTGCAGTGGTTGGCAAAGTTGCAGAAGTGATATCTGCTATAAAGAATGCGAAGGACGTTGATGAAGTCATTTGCGCACTTCACTCCATGGCCATCCTCCTTTTCCCTCTCGACCCCTCTCTTCTCTCAGGTTCCCTCCTATGCGTTTAGCCTATATTTGTTGATTTATTACCCTAGGTGGAATTGAATGTGTGATATTTCATTGGTTTGAAACAGCATTTTGATTTTGTATGTATGAATGTCTCCAATTTTGCAGGTAGTATTGATGAGAGTTTCCGAAACCAGGTTCGTGTCATTCCTGTCTTGAGAGTTTCCTTTATGAAGAAGGGTTTTGGAGGGAAAAGGAAGGGTTGACGAAGTTTTCGTTTTTGAATTGAGAGAGTTATATAGTGTTTATAAGAATGAATAAGAAATTGATGGAAAAGTTTCATGATAAAAATTCTTAAATTAAAGAATATTTACTTGAAATTAAAATTTTATCCTCCCTTTCCTTTTACCCTCAAAATCCTCCATCCCAAACGTACTAGTGTCATCTTCATGATTCTTCTTGTGTCGTGTTCAGGTCTTCAGCGCCAAAGTTCCTTCTGCAGAAGAACGAGATGGTTGGTGGCATGCATTTTACCGAGGAGCTGCTTTTCCTACACTGGCTAGGTTCTTGTTACTTGGTAATTTTTTTGATGTTTTATATTTTTTCTTTATATTGCAGTTTAAAGTATCCTCTTTTTTTTTTTTTTGGGGGGGGGGGGGGGGGGTGTGTGTCTATGCAATGCTGCTGATCAGTGATCAGGAACCAATGTAATGTTGTGTTCACAATTGTGGGGTGAGTGGCTAGGAACTTAGTTAACGGTTCTTCTTTTAAGGATCCGCTTTTATGTGTGGTGTTAGGCCCTGAACATTTTTTGTCTCTTCAATATTTTTTAGTTGCTCAAGTCAAAATTAATGTTGCTTTTCTTGTTTTTCTCATATAATATGCAACTTCCTGCAGATGTTGCCCCCAATTGGTTGGCTTGTTTCCCCTTTTCAGCACAGAAACATGTTTATGATGTTTTCTTTGTTCATGGATTTCTCACTGAGGTGCTGCAGATTTTGGTTCCTTTTCTCCAGCAGAATGGGAGTCATGGTCTTGATGTTAATGCTGTCCTCTCAAATTCCGAAAGGTATGAATGTTCATATTGTGCTATCTAGAGTTATCAATTGTGTGTGCTAGGGGCACTATGGCGCTGCGGTGGCCAATATGGGTGCTAGAGCCCAAAATTGTGGCTTCTATAGCAGAAAAAAGTGGCCAGTGGCCGCTATGGTGAACACGGGGTAAAAAACAACATTTTGCTCCGAATTTCTGTTATTGTGAGTTTTTTACTTTAGAAACATTATAGGGTGTGAAACCCTTCTTCCTCTATAATTCACACAAAAAACGTTACCCAGATTCCAAACTCTGTTGTCTGACCCAGTGACCCACTGCTTGCCAGCATCTGTTTCCGGCGAACCCCAACATTTTCTGGCCACTGACCACCTACTGCTTGCAGGTCTCTGTTCTTCCTTTGGCTTCTGTTCACACATTAGAGTTGGGTCTCTGTTCATGCTTCGCAGATCGCAGGTGTCTGTTCTTTTTTGTGTTCTGTTCTTTCTTCTTCCTTCCAGTTCACAGGTCTCTGCTCTTTTTTTCCTGTGTTCCGTTCTTTCTTCTTCCTTCACTTTTCTCACTTCACATTTCACACACTCCTAATTTTTATCTAATGCATTCTGATTTCTCCTATCAATTTCTTCATCTTCCTATTTTTTCGACTTCATTCCTATACGGCAAACTCGGAGCAATGGTAAAGCGTTCCTTTTTGACTGAAAGATCACGGGTTCGAATCCGGGAAATAACCTCTTTACAAATCTGCAACGGTAAAGTTGCATACAATGATTTCTATCACTCCTACCCTCGTTAGTTGGGTTTAATTGAGAGTTTAAATTTATTCCAATGATTTCATTGCTCCTAGATTGATGGTGATTGTGTGTCACATTAGACTATATTTCGTGATTATTTATTATGAATGTCTTTAATTTTTTTTGAACAATTATATATGAGTAGCATAAATTATTTAGTTCGGAGCTATAATCTTTGGTGTAGCAGCCATCCCACAATAGTGGATTGATAACTATGATGCTATCTCTTACATGCAGTTTTCTCCGCCTTTAAAGTCATTTACTCTAACACTTGTTATCAACATGCATGTGCTTAATTCGATGTAAAGTAACAATCCAAATTAATTTAACATTAGGAAGAACTTATTCAGATTTAACATTTATGACAGACTGCTTGTACTGTGTTTGATTGAAAATAATGGGGTGCTGCGGTTAGCAAGAGAGTTTGGTGGTTCTTCTAAATCAGAAGGTTTTACAAATGAACAGATCAAGCTGGATGTATCTAGGGTGGCTCAGATTGTTGCCTCTATTCCTGACAAATCAAGAATGAACTCCCCATCTTCATTGTCATCTCAGTATCCTCTCTATTTTTTTTCTTTGTTTATATAGTTTATAGGTTCTATATATTGACATGGTTTTGCTGTTCTCTTTACTTGATTAACATATCTTGTTTAACTATTTCCATTGATGGAATATGATCTTTGGAGGATTTAGCCAGATTATATTGTCATGGTTCTGAGTTCCTTTGTAAGCAATTCATGTTTTTTCTTCACCAAGAGTATTCAGTTTGTTCTTCAAGCAGATTATTGACCAACTACTCTCCGTGGCAGAAGAAAGAGAGATGATTTTGCTAGAAAATGTAGACACCTTGGATGAAATGGACAAAAATGGTGCACTGTTATTTGTAGGGGAAATGTTTTCTCGCATTTGTCGCCGTGGCTCTGCTGGTAACTAGAAAATTTGAAACACTGGAATTTTTTTTAACTACATATATTAGCTAGTATCATTAAATTGCTTTCAGTTAATTACCAGCCTTTTTGAAATAGATCACATTTGCTTCATATCAATCTTTATCTTATATTAAACCAACTCCCTTTTTTCTTTATAAATAATAAGTTTGGAGCCACAGTTTGTTGGAAGTTTTTTACCATTTTGTTAAGAAAACCCAAAAAGGCATCTTGTCAGTTGTCATATAGGTTATATAATTCACAGAAGACAATAAGTGTTATGTGTTATAGTTTGCAGAAGGCACGTTATTTTACTTCTTATTTGCAACATTTGTTGGTGAGTTGTTTTTTTTTTAAAAAAAAGACAGCTTGGTGCAATAAAATTCCTGCTATGCGCGGGGTCCAGCGATGGATCAGATCCACTGTGTTGGTCTATAGTAGGTAGCCTTATCTTGCATTTGCAAGAGGCTGATACATGAATCAAACTTGTGACATCTTGGTCACACAGCAACAAAAGTAAATATAAGCTGGTGATTCAATGAGAAATTGACATCATAACCAAGTTTTTTCAAGGTTTTGAATGCATTCTTATGCAATGGCATTTGGTTACAGACCATTTTAAGTTTGTAACCTATTAAACTGTTTTAATATCTTGAATCTTCATCTAAATAGTAAAGATGCTACGTGGAGGTTGTATCTAGTTTCCTTGGATGTAGCTTGATATCAGCTGGCTAAGGAAGAGCCTGAAGTGACCTCCCCAGTCTCAACCAACCTGTGAGTGGTGTCGTTAGACTTAGATGTAAACCAAGTAAACAAACAACTATCTAATACAATCCCAAATGAAACCTTTGGTGAATAATTTCACAATGATGTGAATCCATGTTAAGCAACACTTCAAGAAGGTTCTTGAAAGTTGGATGCTGGGATTTTGAAATATGAACATTTTGTCTGTGCTTCTTAAGAGTGTAAAAGTCAAGCTAAATTGCTAATACGCGGACCAACCAAAACCATTCTATTCTTGTTAACATCAATGTAATCTTATACACAAACCATGGTTTTTAGATTGTACATAAAAAATAACATTCTCATGACTTAGTCAACTTAGGTAATTTTGTTTTGAAAATAGACGATGAGTCTCTGTGGTTAGGTATCTCATTGTTTTAACTTTTAATGGATCTGTTGGAATAAAGATCTACTATTTCTTATATACAAAACACTGGTTTGAGAGACAGGAAGCATAAAGGTTGACTTTAACTGTCTTATGTCTCTTAACTTAATGGAAAATATAATAAAACTGCTTTTAAAATTGCTTAAAGGGTCTAAGAACCCATTTAGATGGGCTTTTGAAAAAAGGACTTTTTATGCCTTGTTTTTTTTAGAAGGATTTTTTAAAAGCCAGAGCTATTTTGCATTTGGATGTAGCACATGTAAAGCACTTTTGACCCAAAAAATTGTTTGGATATTAAAATTAAAAAACACTTCTTATGTATAAAATTACTAAAAGGGACATGTGAAAACAAATCATAGAAGTAAAATTTGGTAGTGGTGATGATGGCGACGACAAGAAGTTGGTGGTTGGGGAGGTGGCAGCGATGGCTGTAACGGGATGGCGGCAGCAGGGGCGGCTTGGTGATGGAAGTGAGGTGGTGGCAACAGTGGCAGTGGTAGTGGGGTGTGGTGATGGTGGTCGTGAGGGTGGTGGTGGGAGGTGAGGTGGCGGTGGCAGTGGGATTGGTTGGGGTTTGGGTTGGGGCAAATTCGAATTTTGATAAAGATATTTGGCTTTTTTATTTCTGGTTTTTTTAGAAGCCAGAAATTTTACCTTTAAAAAAAGCATAATTTTGACTTTTTTGTAACTTTTGCTTTTTTTACAAGCTGACATCCAAATGCTTATTTATAGCAAGAAAGCCTTTGCCCCCCCCCAAAAAATAAAAAATCAGCTTTTGGATTAAAATAACCCATCCAAACGGGCTCTAATCCAATGAAGTTGTTAACCTGCAGTCATGACTTTTAAATACCGTTAGTGTTGTGAATTATAATTGATTTTTGTCTGTACTAGCTGTTTAAAGTGATCAAAATTGTTTCCCGGTTGAATCTCTTTTCTTGTAGATCAGTTATCAAGCGAATTAATACCCCGAGTTCTAAGACTTGTCAACAGCTGCTTATCATCAAGTAACAATTCAGTTACTAAGGAATTGCTTGAATCAAAACCGGACTCAATGTTTTGGTTGAGACTGATGGAATCAATCAGGGATCCTTATACCATGGAAAGAATCTCTGAGCAGATATTGCATAAGCTAGCAACTCAACATGCAAATGATGTTCAAGCCTATTGGGTCCTGTGGCTGTTATTCCACCGAAATTTTAAGCTTCAGGTTTCTGTCAGGTTAGTGGAAAAAGTAGTTAATTTTGCCTTTATTCACAGATCATCTGGAAATAACGCTTCATTTGGATTGAGGTAAAGAAAACAGGCAAAACTTCGTTGGGTGAAGAGAAAAATAATGGGGAAAAACATGAACTTAAAATTTTGATGTTTTCACCACAGATATCCTCCCCGCTTTCTCACTCTCAATTTAAACAGAGTGAAAATATTGCAACAACATATAATAAGGATGGCTTTTGTGAGGAATATCATGATTTAGATTAAAATAATTGATGCATCCGTATCCTTGCAATGAGTGTGTCGTGAAGGTGTAGCCTCTTGTATAGTATCCTTGGCAGGTAAAACTTATTAAAAGGTACCTGACAGGCGCTATCCCACTGCAGTGCTGGAGAACTATATGATAGAAACTTTTAAATGGAACTAATCGTGACCATACTTGAATGTCACCAATTGATTAAATTTATAGACAATTTTTTTGTTTATGCATCAATACTTTCTGTGCTTTGATAATCTAGAACAATGCATGAAATGGGTCCCCCCCAAAAAAAATTCTTCATATGTTGCCAGTGATTACAACAATATTTTTGCCCTTTCAATTATAATTAGACCAATATTTTTATTTTTTTATTTATGTATGAAATGTGTTTTACTAGTTGTTTGCAGCTCCTCATGTTTTTGGTTATTGTTGAAATTAGGTCTTTTCACAGAGCTTAGATTATGTAGGCATGACAGCACCATCATGAGCAGTTTTTTTTACTCTCTTTTTTACTTTTGTTTTTTAGAATAGTAATGATATACCACTATTAATATATATGCTTTTGCCCCTTTGTTTTGCGATGTTTCCATGGCTTCTCCTCAGGTCCATGTTTGTTGACAAATTCCTGCTCTGGAAAGTATTTCCTTTTAGCTGCCTGAAATGGATCCTTCAATTTGCTGTTCTTGAGTGTCCACCTAGTACCTCCTTATCAGAACATAATCGCCCTGGGTTCTTGAAAATTGTACAACATCTGTTGGCAGCATGGTCTAAGAAAGAATTTGTGCAAACAGCACCTACCGAACAACAAGCTTGTATCCTTTTTCATTATGCTAATATTCTGAAAATACGTGGGAATAGAGGGATACATAGTTTCTGTTTGTTGTGAATTTAAAAAGGATGGCCTAGTGAATGAGGCTACCCTCATTGAGGGGTTTGAGAGAGGGTCAGATGTATGTAGCCTTACACCTGTAAGTGGAAAGGCTATTTCCACACTACAGCCCATGATCACCAAGTTTTAAGGTAGCAACCTTACTGTTGTGTCAAGGCTCGCCCTCTTCCAATTTGATATAAATTGCTGCATTATAATTGCAACAATCTCATGCACTTTCTTCCTCTGATCATTCCCTGGGACTGATGACATCTTTATTATTGTAGTGCATTTATTTATTTATGTTTCCTATATTTATCTCAGATATATCTGCTGCACTAGGCCTTTCTCTGGAGACAATGTCTAAGGAAGAATTGGATGGGATGAAGGATGCCATGCACTTGATTCTTCAAGGAGTTAGCTGTAATTATCGTTTACTTAATTGTTGGGTATCTTGATTATAAGAATGGCAAGTGGGGATTATGTGGGATTGGAACTTTTGTCCACCCTTAATCCTTCAGAACATTTTTTAAGTACCAGGCCCTACCCAAAGGAAGGATGTGGTAGGTCTGAAAACAATTTATGAGTGATTTGGGGCCTTCAAGATAGCGAAATGGTTCCTTTTTGAACTTGATGTATTATTTTCTGTGGGCCTGCTTTGAGTTAAGTCTGTTAGATTTAAAACCATTCATGTTCTTTCCCCCAATAGCTTTAGCTTTTGGGATAATTGGTTTATGACTTAATATCACAGCCCCTATGATATATGGTCTAGAACTGAGTCCTTATTACCCTCATGTTTCTAAATAAAAATTTAAATTGTAGCACAAAGTAGGGTGGGCATGTGTATAGTCCTCGCTTCAAGTCCAAAGGGCTCTTGCGTGAGCGGATGTATTAGATATAAAACCATTCATGAGCTTAAGCTTTTGGAATATTTGATTCATGACAAAGTCAAACATGTCATCAGTATGAAATTTAGGTTGTTATTCAAACCACATAGGGCTTATATGCTAGCATTCCCAAACTTTCATTTCCCTGCTACCCAATTAACAATTTTTTGCTATATACGAAACTTAAGTTGAATTATACGGAAATTAATGCTTTTGATGAAAGACCTTTCTCCAGTACCCTTGTTTTTTCAAGGGATACCAGTACCCACAATTAAATTCCAATAAGAATCTAACAAGTTTATTAACTTGCTAGAGTGTTTTCCTATCTGGTTCAACCTTTCATTTTAGTTTAACTATCAATAATCTAAAACATCACTTAAAAGTTTTCGTATTTGCTAAAAAACCATACTTCTGGATTTTTGCCAGTCATAGTCTTATACATTCATCAAGAGAAAGTATTGTTGTAAAACAAGATGGAATAATTTGTATTAATAATGTGACTGCTTTGATGATTTTTTTTTTTTTTTGAGGGTCCATCTCCATATCCACCCCACTTCCACTCAGTAGTCTTATAAAGCTGATTAAAAATGGGTAGCTATCCCTTCTTGCAGAATAGTTGACATTATGATACGACCCTTTCTATGATGAGGGTGTACAATAGGAAACGATTCAGGGGATCAACTACTTATTGCTGACTCAGCACATGGGTGAATGGCATTTCTGTTAGAAACAGTTAGCATGGATTGTGATAGGAGAGAAAAAGGGTACTGTTATACGGGAGTGGGGCTGGCATTTTTGGGGGGATCATCTTTTGGGCATTGAACTTGGGTCTTTGGAGAGATCAGAAGCTCTCTAAGTCTTCTGAAGTTATCTTTTAGTTTTACTTTTCCTTGTTATTGCACTCTTATCTTTTTCTGTAATTTCCATTCAGACATGTTTGTACTGTTTCTTGGGCTATTTTCAAGCCAGAATATTAATACCATTTGCTGAATCTTTTAGTTTAGCTTATTGGTTGTTGTTGTCCGTATAACATTCATCTTCTAATTTTTTGTGTAATTGTTTCAGGTAGGCTGGAGAGTCCTAATCATTTAGTTCGAAAAATGGCTAGCAGTATTGCTTTGGCATTGTCTAAAATTATTGATCCAAAAAATCCTCTGTACCTTGATGATAGCTGCAGTGGGGAGACAATTGATTGGGAATTTGGATTCACTGTCCCAAAGAAAGAGACTCTAGCTGCCGCAAATTGCAGAGAAAAAGGTGTTGAGGAAACAAAAATCTCTATAATGTCAGGTCCGGAGACGGATTGTGATTCCCCTTCCAATAAAGAGAGAGGCATTAATGTAAGGAGTAAAAAGAAGTTATTGGCCTTTAATGTGCTTGATCCAGATGAGATTATTGATCCAGCAGCACTGAATATTGAATCAGACGTTAATGATGAGGATGATGGCGATGGTGCGAGTGAGAATTCATATTCCTCAAGTGATTCATCTTTACAGCCATATGATTTGTCAGATGATGACTCAGATTTGAAAAGAAACTTTTCACAGTTGGCTGATGTGGTTGCGGCTCTTAGAAAATCTGATGATGCTGATGGGGTTTGTCATTTGCTCCCAGGATACTTTTTCATTGCATTTTGATCATCTGCTATATCTAAACTTAAGGCAATTTGATTTCTCATGGTTTAAAGTTTAATATATTATAAATTAAAATTTTCGACAATTACTGCAATTACCAAGTATTGTATCTTCTGGTTTGGACTGAGATATTCAAAAACCAATTTGTAGTCCTGCGTAAGTGTGACTGACCTGATGCATTCTTGCCTTTAGCGTAGGTTTCTTGGTGTCCTGCTTTTTGGCTGAAAGTCTGATGCTTTGTAAATTTTGCCCTTTTACTGTAGGTGGAAAGAGCTCTTGATGTAGCTGAGACGCTCATAAGAGCTTCCCCAGATGAACTAAAACACGCAGCAAGGGATCTAACCAGAACTCTTGTTCAGGTTCGTTGCTCTGATATTGCTTTAGAAGGTGCAGAAGAATCAGTGGAAGACAAAAGACAAAGAGCGTTAGTTGCCTTGGCAGTCACCTGCCCATTTGAATCACTTGACACACTAAACAAGCTTTTGTATTCACCTAATGTAGATATTAGTCAACGCATTATGATACTAGATGTCATGACAGAAGCAGCTCGGGAGCTTGCTGACTCAAAAATTATGAAACCCAAACATCAGACTAGTTCCCTTATTTCTGTTGTTTCAGATACCCGACCTTGGTTCTTGCCTAGCAGCACAGGGATTTCTGGAGCTGGTTCCTGGAAAGAGATCTCAGGTACTGGCAGCTGGTTGAATTGGTCAAATAGCTATGAGAGAGAACTTCCCTCGAAACCTAATCAGGTCAAGAAAGGGAAATCACGCCGGTGGAGCCTAAGATCTCCTTCTGCTCAACAAAACCAGATGGAGTGTTCTCATAACAAGTTTCCCATGTATGCTGCTGCATTCATGCTTCCTGCCATGGAAGGGTATGATAAAAAAAGGCACGGTGTTGACTTGCTCGGCAGGGATTTTATTGTCTTGGGGAAACTCATTTATATGCTTGGGGTTTGTATGAAATCTGTAGCCATGCATCCAGAAGCATCTGTGCTGGCTCCCTCGCTTCTGGATATGTTAAGATCCAGGTACTGGTCGAGACATTAGTTGTCTATTTAATTGCAAACCCTATGAGGACGGACATAGTCTAAATCTTGATCCCCACACCAAAAGTGTGTCTGTATATGCGCATGTTAGTATAATTGATAGTTCGGTGTTCAATTGGTTGTTTATGTTTATATTTCCTTTTGTTACTTCATTTGCTAATGCAAGAAACTTATCGTCACTTTTCGTTTAACTCATGCAGAGAGTTATGCCATCACAAGGAAGCATATGTGAGAAAAGCTGTCCTCTTTGCAGCTGCATGCATATTGATGGCTCTTCATCCTGCTTACATTTCATCTGCTTTACTTGAAGGAAATGTTGAAATTTCCACTGGCCTCGAATGGATTCGCACATGGGCCCTTGATGTAGCTGAGTCAGACACAGATAAAGAATGCTATATGGTAAGCAAAAGGAACTTTGAAGCTTTTAAGAGGTTAATCTATGTCCCCACAAAGAGGCTAAGCTTCAAAGTGGTTTACGAGATTTTCTATTATCTCTGCTTATACTTTGGTCATAAAAGGTTTAAATTTTCATGCATTGGTCTAAAGTTATTTAATGGTGACAAGATTACAAACATAGTTTTAGCTACTTAAATGTATATAATCAATCTTGGTCTCTTTGTGAACTTGCATATTTACTCTTACGATTCATGATAATATATGGTCTGTTAAAATATTAACTCAGATGGCTTGTAATTATCTCTAGGAATTTTATTCTTGGACCTTTTTATTCGCTGTAGAGCCCTACAACTCCCTCCCCCCCCCCCCCCCCCTCTCCTCTCCTTCTATTGTGTGGTTTAACTCTTCTGTTATTTCCCGTAACCGAATAAACATTTTTGTCTCACAATAGATGGCTAGGACATGTATACAACTCCATGCTGAGATGGCTCTTCAAACTTCCCGAGCATTGGAGTCAGCAAGAAGTTCACTCAAGGCAGGTCCTACTCTCCCTTCTGATGCATCCAAAGTGTCCATTAAAATTCCCTACTTAAACGGTGATTAGTTGTCCTACTGGCTATTGTGAATGGCTTCATTTAATATGAATTCAAAATTGTACTAATTATCACTCTGCTACTCGTTTCCTTGTTCATTAAACTTTTGATCCACTCCTTGTATATTTTTAAAAGTTACATTTATTTTAGGTTTCTAGGTTCAGCATTTTGTACGACACCAATGTTCATATACTGATTTAAAATGCATTCCAAAATTAATAATATTTAATTCTTACGCCTTCTCAATTCCTTTCTCCTGCTGCGTTTTTTTTTTTTTGGCTACTTGATATAATTTCTCAACAAAATATTCAACTTGATCTAACTAATGAATTTATATTTTCTTGATGGGCAAAGGAAAAGAAATATAACAATTGATCAACTTTGTTGTTTCCTTTTCGGTTTTAGGCTGTCGTTGGAGTATTCCTTCTTATTTTATAACGTGTCTAAGAAGCCCGACTTATCTTCTGTTAATAATTGAACATTACTTTCAATAAATTTTGCCTTGCTTAATTGGCAACAGTGATCAAAATGTCACTTTTATCAAATTTTTTGTCTAAATATTATGCGAACAATGTTATTTCTTAATATGTCACGTGGGTAAATTCGCCAGCTATTGTAACGAACTCGGTTTGTTGACGTATCACATTTTTAGTGGAGATCAAGTTTGCTACATGAGATAGCGAACTTGGTTGCAATACATAAAATTTTTGCATTCCAACCAAGTTCGCTATCTCAAGTAGCGAACAGCGAACTTGGTACTGGTATTCACTAGAAACGTGATACGTCAGCAAACCTAGTTCACTAAGTGCTCAGCAAATTTGCCCACGTGGCATATTGGGAAAGGGAAATAACACTGTTCGCGTGATATTTAGATAAAAAATTTGGTAAACAGTGACATTTTGATCCGTGTTCCTGCTTAATTGAACTTGGGGGGAAGGACGGCATGTCGATTTTGTTATGGTCTGTCTATTACTTCTGGTTTAAAGAGAATGGGAATAGTGTTATCAAATGAGAGTTTTCATGCATAGAGTTTGTATCTAAGAGAAACAAGCCATAGATTGATTCATTTGAAGCTTATTAAATAAAACTCTTATTCTAGAGCTCAGTATCATTAACTGTAAACTAATACCAGATAATTTAGCTAGGGTCTTGGTATAAGCAACTTAATAATCAAATTTATCCCGTTCGTTAATTACTTCGTTAAATACTAAATTCTTCGTTAATAATCAAATCTAGCTTATCAAATTTAGCTAGATTTTGTTATCCTCTTTTTTTGTAATAAAAATTCTTCGTTAAATACTTTTATTGATGTATAAATAACCACTAAAGCAGTAGTGGTGCCTTCGCATTTGGGATGGATTCGACTAGAAGTCAAAATGGACCAAACATGTCAGGCTAACTTATTTATGCACAAAAATTAAGCGGAACAGATTTTTAAAATACTAATTCATTTAAATTAAATCATTTTCAGGGCCTTCCGACCCATTTAAATCGAATTTGAAAACAAATTACCGGTTTGATGTGTTTGCCAAACAATGTACTAGTATAATGCAATAATATGAGCAGAACATGAGTGCACATTCCATGTAGAATACGCCACATGATTGCGCATGAGATAGGGGCGCGACTTGGTGAATTGCGCAATATGGCTTGATCACCTATCACCACACCGAAGTATCGCATGGACCTTCAACCCAACTCAGGATTTTGTCCATGGCTCAATCCGGGTTGTCTGTCCTATCTACCCCTATCCCCTACACTATATAATCCCCTTCGCCCTCTGAATTCTGAAATTCATTTGGAACAGCCAACAATGTACCGCACATTGGTTATTTTTACGAGCATTGCCATGGCGAACAATGTTAATTGTCAATATGCTACACGTTCAAATTCGCTATAACAACAAGCTTGATTTGCTGATGTGCGTATATGTGTTGGCTAAGTAGTTCGCTACACAACAGGCATCAAACTAGGTGGCATTAATTGCCACAGCAAACTAGGTGGCATTAATTGCCACTTGCCGTGCCCATCTACAAAGACACGTGTCAATCGCAGAGAAGTTCCCTTTACCTTCTAGCGAACTAGGTGCAACGGTAATAAAAAAAAGCCGCTGGGCCACGTGTCATAACATAGACAAGTTTGCTGGAGGAAAAAGCGAACTTGGCCCAACGGCTATCCACCTCAGCCCTGCCTATATAAACCCCCCATTCTCTCTCAATATACACTATCTTTCAATACACTTTCTCTCAATACACTTTTGGCAAACCCATAAAGGTTAGTATTATATTTTTATAATTTATGCTTTTTTAATATTAATTATTTGATATTATTTATTTATAGGATAGAAATCTTAAGTTAGAAGACATGTTATTTTTTGTTCAAACTATAGGATAGAAGCCATGTATATTAATGTTATTATATTCTTTTGTATATAGGATAATTGATGTAGCATTTTATATTTCATAATTAAATTTATGAAGGAATTTTTATTATGTGTTATTTATTTTATTTTAATACTAATTATCTTAGGACTTGAAACCGTAGAAGATAAATATATATTTTATTTAAAACATAGGATAGAGCTTATGTGGAATTGTTGTTGTATTAATGTTATTATATTAATGTCGTGAATTATTTTTGATGTTAAAATTAATTTTGAATTGTGTTAGATTTTTTATTTTAATAATTATGATTTTAGGTCTCGAAACCTTAGGTTAGAGGAGACATTATTTTTGTTGTTTTATGTTCTCGTAGGATTGAGACCATGTGTATATATTGTTATTGTATGATAGTTTGTGAATTATATAAATTTGAAAATTTTAAATTTTAAATTTTAAATTTTAAATTTTAAATTGTGTATTATTTTTACTATTGAATTTTTTAATTACAAATCAAATTATTAATATATTATAATTTTTGCTTGAAATAGATACTTGAAATAAAAGGATATTTGAAATATTATTGAATCGTATTTGAATCTGTACATAGGGGTCTCTATTTATAGAGACTTCTTGACCTAATTTTGACCTAATGGGCTTGGCCCAATATACAAGTTAACGGACTAAATAAATACAAATAAATGACTACATAATTACTAATAAATGACTACATAATTACTATTTACAACAGCAATAAATGACTACATAATTACTAATAAATGACTACATAATTACTATTTACAACACTCCCCCTCAAGCTGAGGAATAGATATTTATCATTCCCAGTTTGCTAGCAAGTTCTTGAAATCTATCTGAAGGAAGCCCCTTTGTCAATAGATCAGCTAATTGACGCCCAGTGGGAATGTATGGAGTGGTAATCAACCCGCTATCAAGTTTCTCTTTGATGAAATGGCGGTCGACCTCAATATGTTTAGTCCGATCATGTTGAACTGGATTATGAGCTATACAAATAGCGGACTTATTATCACATAGCAGCTTCATAGGTCCCTCATATTTTATTTTTAGATCATCAAGTACAATTTTCAGCCACAGTAACTCACAAATGCCTTGAGCCATAGCTCGAAATTCAGCTTCTGCACTTGATTTGGCGACCACATCTTGTTTCTTACTTCTCCATGTCACCAAGTTACCACAAAGAAACATGCAATAACCAGTGGTAGAACGACGGTCAGTCACGGATCCAGCATAATCAGCATCTGTGTAGACTTCTAAAGATAGATTGCCATCACGTCGGAATAACAACCCTTTACCAGGAGTACCTTTCAGATACTGAAGAATTCTCTCTACTGCCTGCATATGTTTCTCCTTTGGATCGTGCATAAACTGACTGACAACACTAACAGCATAAGCTAAGTCTGGTCTAGTATGGGCCAAATATATCAATTTCCCAACTAGCCGTTGATATTGTCCTTTATCAACTGGAGGACTCTGCTCTTCATAGCCCATCTTGTGATTCTGCTCAATAGGAGTATTAGAGGGTTTACACCCGAGCTTTCCTGCTTCTTTGAGAAGATCGAGAACATATTTCCTCTGGCTGATAAAGATTCCTTTGCTCGAATGAGCTACTTCTATCCCTAGGAAATATCTCAGTTTCCCAAGGTCTTTGACTTCAAACTCAGAGGCAAGCCGTGTTTGCAGAATCTGTCTCTCCACAAAATCATCACCTGTGATAATAATATCATCAACATATACAAGGAGCACAGTAAGCTTCCCATTTTGGGAGTGCTTGAAAAAAAGAGTGTGATCTCCTTGACTTTGTTTATATCCTAAGGTCATCATAACCTTAGTAAACTTTCCAAACCAGGCACGAGGTGACTGCTTCAATCCATACAAGGCCTTTTTTAATTTACAAACTTTATTTTCTCCCTTCACAGAATCAAAACCAGGCGGAATTTCCATGTAGACTTCTTCTTCTAACTCACCATTGAGGAAAGCATTCTTCACATCAAATTGGTTTATATCCCAATTGTAATGGGAAGCAAGGGATAACAAAACTCTCACCGTATTCATCTTTGCAACTGGAGCAAATGTTTCTTCATAATCAATGCCATAGGTTTGAGAGTAACCTTTGGCAACTAATCGAGCTTTGTATCTCTCAAGAGTTCCATCAGAATTATATTTCAGGGCATAAACCCATCTGCACCCTACTGCTTTCTTTCCAGTAGGTCTATCAATAACCTCCCATGTTTTATTTTTCTCCAATGCATTCATCTCCTCTTGCATGGCTTGAGCCCAATTCCTATCTTTCAAGGCTTCATGTACTGATTTTGGGATTGCAATAGAGTCTAGTGCTGAAACAAAGCTTTTGTGCTGCACAGAAAGATTAGCAGAGGAAACAAACTGGGAGATAGGGTATTGAGTACAAGAGGGACAGGAGGGACAAGATTTCTTGGGACAAGCTCTTTTTCCTTTTCTAAGAGCAATGGGTAAATCATCAGAATCAGTAGTAATGGGTAAGTCATCAGAAGTATTAACATCATGATCAAAAATATGAGATTCAGGACTTACCAGTGGTTCAGACGATTGAGGTTGCTGCTGAGACAATGTGGGTTGTTTCCTTCTTTCAGGTGTCATAATCTTTCGTATCTCTGGTGTACTTGATGTATCAATCACAGGAGAATCAGTCACAGGAGGATTACTCACAAGAGGATCAGACACAGGAGGAACAGACAAAGGAGAAACAGACACAGGAGGAACAAGACCAGGTGGAGGATACACTGACATAGGTAAAGG